TTGGGAGAAAATTAAATCCTTTCAGCAATCTAAACACTTTTTTCTGAATGATTCTATGATTTGCTATATTATAGTGTGGACTATTAGGTCATTTACTTAAACTACTAAAAAGAAGATTTGAACTAAGAAATTTTAAATTGGTCAATTTCAATCTTGCCACTCTCCAGCTTGTTCTATTCACCTCACCCTTTCTTGTGCGTGGGGTTCATTCTGCTTTCCTCCATTACTCTACCCTTCATGGCCCTAGAAAGTGACTCATCAAGAAAACATGTCACAGCTGGACAATATAATTAAGTTAATTTAGATAGTCTTAAAAAAAAGAAGGGAAGGGGGGAGAATAGGCTTTTTTCAAAACACAAAGGCCCGAGAGAGGAAAAACAATTAGAATGTACATTTGATTTTGGCCTGGATTTAATAAGCAAAAGGAGTAAAATTATATCAGCCAATTAAGACAATCTAAAGAAATCGCCATGGTAATCAGAACCAGTATACTTAGATTTTAAACATAACCAAAATATAATATGCTGACAAATCAGAAAATTAAACATTCCATATTACGGTTTTAAAGTTGGAATTACAAGTTTACCTTATAACTACAGGAACACATTCCAGTCTAGAAGTAATATAAGCTTTTGTTATCTCAGGTGCATATGTATCTAAGAGGTGGGGTTCTGCCGTTTTCACAAAAGGTACAGATGCTACCATTCTTTGCCACAGAGTTAGCAAATAATGAACACTATTTGGAGCAAACTCCCAGTGCTATAAGAAAACAAAACATACTTCTGTTAAAGCATCCCAGTGTGAAATTTTAGCTGCGAAACATGATGCTTTTATCTTAAGTAGTCTTATTCATCCACGTAACTACTGAAGGACCCAGAACTGAGACATACTATGGCACACATTATAGAGTAGACCCAGAATTACTTGTAGGCCCTCTCGCCTCCTTCAAATGAAACCCACGATTTGAAACTCAGAGCTAGGCCTAGATTCTTGCACAGGTGTCCTGGTTTCGGCTGGGATAGAGTTAATTTTCTTCCTAGAAGCTGTGTTTTGGACTTAGTATGAGAATAATGTTGATAACACACTAATGTTTTAGTTGTTGCTAAGTAGTGCTTACACTACATCAAGGACTTTTCAGCTTCTCATGCTCTACCGACTGAGAAGATTCAAGATGCACAAGAAGCTGGGAGGGAACACAGCCAGGACAGCTGATCCCAACTGACCAAAGGGATATTCCATACCATATGACGTCATTAAACCACAACATCAGTATATAAACTAGGGGAAAGCTGGCTGGGGGGCCGCTGTCCAGGGATTGGCTGGGCATCGGTCAGTGGGTGGTGAGCAATTGCATTGTGCATCACTTGCTTTGTATATTCTTTTTTAATTATTATTATTACTACTACTATTTTATTTTATTTCAATTATTAAACTGTTCTTATCTCAACCCATGAGTTTTCTCACTTTTACCCTTCCGATTCTCTCCCCATCCCACCAGGGGGCGGTGGGAGTGAGCAAGCGGCTGTGTGGCGCTCAGTCGCCGGCTGAGGTTAAACCACGACAACAATGCATGGTGAGATTTAAGTGCTATAAAAGGGCCATTCAAAAATTCTCAGTGTTGAGTGGGAAACAGTCTAGAGCCACCTAACAGGAAACGTAAAGAAGAGAAATGCATCTCAACTTTCTTTTCCCTTCCAAGCTTATGGAGCTGCCATTGGCAACTCAGGAATTTAAAGGTCAAAATCTTCTCCTAAAGGTCACTATCTTCAGCTGTTATTCTGAAGATCAGAGAAAGTCTCTGGAGGAAATGCTAAAATAACACTTGTAGTATTACGCAAACAGTGTGCACATCTTTGTGTGTTTCAAAAATAAATCTGTAAAGTTTTTAACACTGTGAGAATCTTGATCCTGTGATATGTGTCCTTCTCATACAGATGCGGGTCCCTCAAAAATTTAGACATTATTCCATGTAGCTTCTGAATCCAGCTCAGATGGGAACTTTGCTCTCAGCAGCTCAGCATACAGGCAACTGTGCGTGTGTGTGTATGTGTGTACAGATATATACGCACAAAAGCAGAACTCAAGAACCTAGTCAGCGTAGGCACTTCAAAGTTTACATGGGAGCATAGGTGTAAGTATTTTAGGGTTGGATTTTTTTTGAGGGTGAGGACTAAGGCTGGAGGATTAACACCCATCTATCTCCTACTTCAGTTGTCATCTTCCTCTAAGTCTGCTCCCATTACAAAACTTCATAGGAAGAGTGGGAACCAGTTCTAGATAATTTAGAAATCTGAGTTACACCGCTGACTAAACACATTTTTACGTAAAAACAAGCCTCACCACCTCCTCAAAAAACACCAACACAGAGAACCAGGATCAGTCCTCTTTGTCATTCAAAGTTGAAGAAAAGAGAACACTTCTGTATATATTCTTACCTGTAGGCTAGTAATAGTAAAATTTGCTATAAGTTGGATGACTTCTGGGTAATCCTTCACCATTACTAGCTCTCCTAGTTGATAGTTTGTCTTTAGCCGAGCCAAAAACCGACAGAATTCATGGTAATTACCCGGATCAGATAAACCCTAAATTTGAAGAAGCAAATTTTAAAAAGTTAACAGATTAATCTAATAGAAATTTTATGAGCACTATTGCTAATTGGGTGACAATTTTATTTGCATAGGGGTTTTGCTTTGTTGTGAATAGAAAATCAAAGCAAACATGTCTGGCTAAAAGTGATTTTGATAGATTCAGTAAATTAATGAAGACTGTAACTGGAAAAACAAATCCACAGCTGTTTTAGCATTTCAAATAAATAAAATAAAAAATAAAAAGATACCTGTGGATTTTCAAGTATTTGCTTCACTCCTTTGATTAGATTACCAAGATATTTGGCACGTTCTGGATTGCTGAATAAAGATCTCCTTGTAGAAGCAAACTGAACTAAACAAGAAAGTGCCTGAAGAATAAAAAAGATTAAAAGATTTAAAAAATTTAAACTTTCAGAATAATAATCTCTTAATGTTTGCAGCAATCCAACCTACTGCTATCTGTAGTACATTCTGTGGCTGAAGATTATTTTTGCAGAAATGTCTATATGATCATTGAACACAAATATGGCTCAGTTTTAAAATTTCCTTTTACAACACCTTCTGATTTCATCAAAATAATTAGGTGGATGTTTTCTATGTGGCTGAGTAGTGCTGAATCGGGGGAGGAACGATTTGAATGCTTTCAGGTTCAGCAATGAAAACTGGGGCTGAAGTTCAAAGAAAAGACATCGTGACTGGGCACTGAGCCAGGGGACTCATAACATGCTAATGCACAGAATAAAACAGGGTCTTTTGGACAAAGTATAGATGTAAAAAGACTATTTTCCATAATTACTTGAGTGTAAATCACTACATGTCACTTACTAACTGAGACAGCATTGGTGGAAGGGAATGATACAAATCAAAAAACAGGTCCAAGGTCTCTGGCTCCAGGAAGACTACGGAAAAAGATAAGTTGGTTTTATCACTCTCTACAAGCAATAATTAAGTATCTTTATTTTAATAGAGTCATCTTCTTTTTAACAAAAGCAATAAGAGTGAGATATCACTGTAGTTGAGAATAAACTATGAATCGATGCATTAATTAGTTCATTGTACAATATTAAACAAACCATTATGCTTTTTATCACATTTAATCTATCCTATAGCTCATAAAGAATACTACCCTTAAACTGCAGATGATGCAATACTTTGTCAGTTGCTTACAGAACACTGTTCTGTAATGGATGTAGGTAAACTTATTTCTTCAGGTTACTACAGTAGTACACTAGGCCAAGACAGGTTCCAGATACTAAGAGTTAGTTGAGTCTGTATTTAAACAAAGGCAAGTTTTTAACAAAAGTTCCACAGGCTATCCTGAAGTCTACAGACTGATAAACAGAAAAAAATAGTTTAAACACCGAGTTAACAATTCACTGTGGAATCACATCAAATGAACTATAACATTACTCTAACAACAAGATAGAAAAAGTTCACCAATAATTCATAATTAAGTAATCCCACAAATTAAGTAACATTTCAAAGTTGTTCCATTTATAAGCGTTATTTAATATGAAGACTTGCGTAAAATAAAGCATCACGTAACAAAGGTTAATTTCCTTAGGCACTCTTTGTGTTTAATGACTAAAGGGAGATCCCTCCACAGACAATTTAAAGTATCTAAACTAAAATCTTGGGAAAACCTATCCCCTTCTCCTTCTTAGGGGGTCTTGAGAAATTACTGTCACTTGCCCAAATTCAGCCTTTTGTCAGTATTCCGCCGCTTGCTTTATGTTATTGCTCTTCATCCCTCACACTGCAATTAGAGGCTACTGTACATTAATGGAGAAGGAATGGAGTTATGCATGATGAAGAATAGTATCGTTGAAATAAGGAGGAATATCAAACACTACAGAGTGTCATGCTATACAGGTAAGCCAAATTTAAATGTCCCACCTTGGGTGTGGGAAACTGTGTAGCTGCTTTAGCTAGACGTAACAGACTTCCAATCAGGCTCATTTATTTTGCCAAGAAGCAGGCTAAATTAGCCTACAAGGAGCTCCATGCTGCTAGTGCTAAACTGCGTCCATTACCCAAGGTAATTTCATTAAAGCTAGCTTGGACATATTTATACTAGACCGCCATCTGCACTGTATAAGCCCAGGAAGTCAAACCTCTGGAGTCTAAGAACCAAGATGCAACCCTTCTGCTGCCTTCATTAACAAGCTCACATACTAGAGCAAACAAGCACACTAAAAAAAAATTTCACACAGTTTTCTCACCAGGAAGAAGACAAGAGAAAATAGACGTGCTAGAGATGCTGTACCTCTTCAAGGTGTTCATATGCCAGGATGAGAATAGCATTCAGTGTCTAACCAGAATAATTTGATCTACTGTGAATATCTATGTTATAGACTACATTTATTATTTCTGTCTGTAAAAATAACAATAGGAAAAGTGTGAGAGAAATAGCAGAAGAGGTTTACCAGTAACTCACCAGCAAAAAACTCTACTCCCCATTAAAAATTATTCTATATTTGCAAGTATTATGACAAAAGAAGTTACACAATCCACTGGGTATAGACTTCAGACTACTAACAGTTATGATCCTTTCTTACTTGTTCTCCAGTTTGTTGGAATCTGCACAGTGCATAGGTCATCTGCAGATTCATCAGCTGAATTTCCAATGAAATCAAAATTAAGACAGTTTAGTACAAGCTTCAAAAGTTGCATTGCTAGACTTTGTTGCCGTTGTTCCTGAAGGGTTAAAGGTTTTGCCAAGAGCTAAGGAGAAAAGAAATCTTGTTAGGTCATCTACACAGAACATGCTTTAAGAATAATTTTGGAAAGGAAAATGCTTGGATATAAAACTGCAAAGTTCAGAGCAAGAGAACACATACTAAGAGAAAAATAAATCCTTCAACAGTAAAAGGTATAGCCTTTCCTTAAAAGCAAGGGGAAAATCATGATTACCACCTCAGATACATCCCCCATGTCAAGCTAAAGATCTCAGACTTCTAAATAATTTCTAAAAGCCTCGTGAAATAATCCTTTTGCATAAAATACTTACAGGTAAAACTGAGCATGTCATTGATATTATCTATTAAAACAGTGCAAACATTCACTGAAAAAATTAAACTGTAAGGTTTCATGTTTTTCTCGTTCAGTTACTCCAGACCAGTGTGGAGTATATGTCATGTGCATCTTATGGGTAAAAAATATCTCAACAACTGGTTATTTTTCAGTTTGATGTCCGGACTGCTAAACAGTGAGTTTCACAGTATGCATATTCAAAGACTGTTCCTTTGGCAAGTCTAGAAAAACCTGGCATTAAAAAACAATGAAGTGAACAGTCTGTAATCTGAATGTAGCTATTTACAACACCTGTATAAATACAGCTGTCAGTGTCTACTGTTTTATAACCCCTGTAGTGTCAGAATAAAAAGGTACTTTGTAAGCAAAATAAGCTGTTGGGATTTGGAAGTTTATACTCATCAAACTGTGTAAGAACACATTTTTATCCATCCCCTTCTACAATTATAATAATTTAAACAACATTTTATCTTCAAGAAATTACTATCTCAAGATTACACACACAATATAAAGGCACTGAAAACAAACCTCAAGTTCATTAGTCATTGATGCAGTTCGTGAACATTAAAAAGAAAACTGACACAACTTTGTCTAGAAAAACAATAAAATAAATGCAAATGCAACAACTTGAATCTAAATAAGGAGCAGACAAACTAGATAAAAGTCATATCTCCCATTAACAAAAAGTTTTTAAATTCAGATGATAGGAATTAAAATCAACTGTGTGTCATCAGGTGCCTCATTAACTTGCTAGTAACTTTTGCACCACATTATAATTCACACTAAATTATTAATTCGGCTTTGAAATCAACATTGAATTTCTGTATGTCTTGTATAAACATAACCTGTTCTGCCACCAATCCTCTCTGTAACTTCTAGATTCTTGGAATTATTTTAGTGATTCCACATTTATTAGTTGAGTGTATTTTTCAGTGTATTATAGACACTGAAATATTTCTAAAACCAGCTTTCTATACTGAAGTTGGCATTATAAAGATACTAATCATAATTTTCTTATATTTCTGTCTGGAAATCTGTGGGATGTCACTCAGACAAACCTTTCAACATATGAGAGACTAAAGAAGTACCTGTAGACCAGCTGAACTTGAAGAAAGCTAGGAAGTGGCTGCTCCAGGATACAGGTTCTCACAAATACATTTATTGTTTTGATGTGTAATGGTGTTTACTATATCTAAGAAGATTCTTCCAAAAATATCCAATTCTTCTTTTAAATTATATATGATTTCTCCATTAATATGCAATTCCAACACTGATTTAAAACATCCTGTGTACACTAGCAGAGCACTCCCTCTTTAGAGGTGAGGGCTTACACATTATTTAGTTGCTCTATATATTAAAAAAATATACTGCCTGTCACTTGAGCACCGGTAGCTGACCACATGTGCCCTTTAAAATTATTGCAAATGTGAGGTAAAACATGCTAGTTAGACTAAAAACGTATTGTGAAAGAAATTTAAGCTAACACAGTTTATCTCGTTTTTTACAGCAGTACCTCAATCACATACCTCAACCTTGAGAATTATACCTTTAGCCAAAAAGTAATCGCTACTGTTATCTACTGACCCACTGTGATGGCATCTGTGTTTAAATTCTCAGTTTAAACGCCTGTGTCCAAATTTCAACACCTAATTCATTTGGTTTTCAGAAAACCTGAATAAACCAGCACTCCCAAATAAGTCAAAGAATAGAAATCAGGTGACATTTAAAAAATAAGCTGCTCTCAAAAGCAAGGAGTTGCTTGAGCTTAAGAGAAGTAGAATGGTACCTCATGATGACACTTCCACTGCTGTGGAGGCCCTGATCAGCACCAAAATGGAAAGTGCAAATTCCAGCTTTGATCTCAGGTTCCTGAGAAACTGGTTGGAGATCTCAGATCTCCAACTTACCTGGTCCTGAGAGACCTAGCTCACAGCATGCTGTTCTTCACCACCTCCTGTCAAGGCTCTTAAGAGTCTGCAGCCTGAATTACCCCAAAATGTTACAGAGAAGATAAGGGAACTAGTAAAGTAGAAAAACACCTTGGCCAGATTTGACTGCGCTGCCATACCACAAGATAGAGAATTTGTCCTTCTTTTTGGTCACTCCTAGTTTAATAAAGAATTCTTTTAGCAAATACTGAGATGGTAGGCCCAGCAAAACTGAGATAGAATTAAATTAAGAAAAATATCAAAAAAGACGACAAGCTCAGAATTTAGATAGTTCATCCTTTATGGCAAGATATAAAGAAAGAGAGATGGCACAGAGAGAAAGACTGAGAGAGAGCAAGAGAGACGTGGAGGGAGGAAGATTGGAATTTTTGTCTTTGAACATTTTTTGGTCACTTGAGCTTAACTGGGTGTCATGCAATCCATTTAAGCACAGAATTCATCAACTCAGAAAATATTAAGAACTCAAACTGGGATAATTATGATGTTAACAATTTAGGTTCAATTATAAAGAGGCTCACCTCCTTCAAAAGAGAGCATGCAAGCATCAGTATGTCCTTTAGAGAGGTGTCACGGAATGAGGTAGCTATTTTACGATGTTTTGCTGAAGGTCTTGAATAATCAACCTAAGAAAAGTTAGAACATAATAAACAACGCTCCCTTCTCTGCTAGAACTAGATGATAGCTATATCTGGCAGATTAATTATTTGACACTAGAAATGAAAATTATGGTGCAGCACTAAATATAGATCTTGACAGCTTCCTGAAGCACGTCCTTTTTTCCCTTCAAGGCTGCCTCTCTTTCTGGATGGGAAGGTCTGAGGCACTTCCTCAGGTTAAGATGTAGGCAAAAGAAAATAATTAGCAGAAATACAACTGAAAAAATTGATCATTCACTTTGCTTTACTAGTTCTAGTGACTGTGATGAGAGAAACTTTACCCCGTATCAGGTATCATATGTATCTGATACAGGTAGAGTCCCTGCACTAAGAATTTCTTGTGTCTCTATATTTTGGCAGGGGGAGGAAGGTGTGTTAATCCCTTCAAGTCTAAGAAATGTTTCTCCAACCATTTTTGATGAAGGGCATAAACATTCAATACACTGCTTTATCAGCAATACATACATCCCTTGCAGAAGGAAAAAAAAAACCAACATGCTTACTAGATTCATCTCCTGAGTCAGTTCTGAGAGAATCATTACTCCTATTATATAATGGTCCACGGTGCCCTACAGAAAAAAACAGATAGGATTGCTCAAACATCACAGCTTGTATTTAGTATTTTCCAACATTTCTAGAATCAGATTGTATTTAATATTTTCCAACATTTCTAGAATCAAGAGGAATTTTTAGGCTGAGATATCCTAAGCTGTTTAGAAGGTTTTCATGCCAAATTCTATCAACATTAATAGAACTAGACCTTCAAACTCCCTAATTAGCTCTGAAAAAAACCCTCATCATAAATTTTAAGAATTGTGTAACAAAAACCCATCTGAAAATAGACTCTAAGTAACCACAATCTAGAAATTCACTATTACACATTTCTCAAAGATCTGTTCAGTATTCTAGAACTGGTAAGGCAAGCTGCATGAAATTCAAATCATTAAAAAAAATTAAGCCATGCATGGATGAAAAAGATCACAGGGCACTCTCAGGGGAAAGAAAAAAAAAAAAGTTGTGAAATGCTACCTTTCAAAAAAACCCTAATTCTCTCCCTCACAGTAGTATACAATGCATTGGTTTGAACTGAATGATATATTCCATCTCTGAGAACTTGTGTCTAAAAAGTGAGGCAGTAGGTGTCAAATATTTGCATCTGAGGGTATGATCTGACCATCAGTATTTAAGTTCCTTAGAATGTTTCAAAATTCAAATACAACGCAGAATTTTGCATTTAATTAATAAAATTTAGCTGTCTTCACTGAGCTACTACAAAGCATTTATAGAAAAATTAAATCTGCTTTGTTAAAAACAATTAAAATCAACTGCAATTAGGCCTTGCTATTGAGTCAGGGGGAAGATCTCTATGTCTATTTTCATAGCTGCAGTTTGCAGCCTCAGCTCCCCTGGTGCCGAAAAAACAATGTTATCCTTGTCAAAATTTTCCTGATATTTGTCACAACCACAATCATTTTCACAACTCTGAAGATCACCCAAAGTTTAACTAATGAAGAATCTGGTGACTTATGAAGGGGCCTAACTTTTCACTGTCATGTAGTTTGTATTATCACTTGCACCAAAGCAAATCAAAAGTGAAAATTTCAGAGAACTCTCAGGCAAAATTTATACTGTTGCCCTATCTGCATTCAGTAAGATTAAACATCTTATACTGTAATTTGAACACAACTTACTTTCACATTTCAAATTCTTAAAATAGTCTCTATGAATGTTCCTTAGATCACGCAAACCTGCAAGAATGGAAAATGCAACCTCCCTTTTTCACAGGTGTGAAAAGCTGTGCGGTGAATTATGAAGGAGTTGGGAACAGAACTGCAGACCTAGCTGCTAATCTCTTTTTCTATATTAAATCACACTCAAATTCACACTGGATGAATTTCAATCTGGAATGCTAATGCATATGTATTTGAAACTACCATATACTAATTATTAACACATATTGGTATTGTTTAGGGATTATTTTTTCAATTTTTATCTAAAATTTAATTCACTAGTAGATCTATGGCTTAATTTTCTTTTCTACAGGAATTCTTAATTTAACTAAAAGAAATCTCTTAAGCTAAATTTTGTATTTAAATCTCTATTTTTAATGAGCTACACACTGAAGAGTCACACTGCAATCATTTTAATAATAAATGCAAAATCCAATTACAGTACATTCATAAAAATAACTGCAAAATGGTGGAGAAGTATACTTGCGTTTGTTTTTAATAAACAGAATATTGCAACTTATCTTTTATTAGACATTCCCAATGTAACTCAAAAAGTACATTAACTTGAACAGTGTTATAAACAAAATAAGGCTGAAAAACAAATGAGAAACTCATTGGCAAGAAACATAAAATGTTAACTTCATATTTTCTTGTGGAGTTGCCAGGATCACCAACACATACACACATAATGGATCACTTTGGAAGTAAATCTCTTAAATTTTCTGATTATTTTTTCTCAAAATAAGTACTAGGCTTTACATTCACACAGACATTCAGAAAGATTAATCTGTATAAACTTTTTAAGCAGATTAGCCATCTCCCAGAAAATTTTTAAAGAGCCTTTTTACACATGTTAAATGTATGAAATAACCAAGTCTGGCTAATAACCCATGACATCCAATCACCTTCTCCAAACTTACTTCACAGAAGATGCTGTATATCCTATATCTTTAGCCACTGTGTCTGACAGTACTTACTCTAGATTTGACATGGAAATTTGCATAGTGAACAGTCCATAGCAAATGATTGCACGCTGACATTAGGAGAAATTACTTCCAATTTTCAAATACAATGTACCAAGACCATCTCTCTATCCTGTAGCGCATCTTCTTTGTAACAGTGACCAATGCAGTGGGGGAACAGGAAATAATGTGGAAGGAAATGTAAAACAAGAACATTCCTGCCTTATACAATTACTGCAGAGGGAAGATGAGTGATCTTTCCTCCCAAACTTCCCCATATCCCTACCTACAATGCATAATTTTTGTGATGTTAGATTTACATACATATGCTAAAATAGGTAAAGTTATAAAAACATTCTAAACTTAATATTTACCTCCCTATATTGTACACTATAATCCTAGGAGAGACAGAATGTCTTTTTTTTTTTTCTTTCACTCTTCTTTACATGCATGGAGAGAGAACATACATATATGCAGGTATCTAAGCACCCATGCACACAAATATGAATCATCAGTTTCTCATAAAATGAAAAAGGAATTGGGCAAACAAGGACCACAACCACATAACAAACATATACAGCGTGTTGCAATTTTGTGTACTACAGTTCTATCTTTAGACAAGCTTCCCTCAGTAACTTCAGAAGCAGGGGTATCTAGTGATTTCTGCTAAAAATTAAAGTGCAGGTGAAGTCCCACTGGTTATACAGAAAAGCAACAACATAAGACCGTAACAGTGAACCCTCCAACAAATAGCTTATAAAGGTATCTTTTTGATCAACCCCCTACAACAGGCACTTGAAAAAAATAGATTTGAACTAGCTCTAGAACTGAACAGTTCGGCACAATTTTAGCAGTCATTATTACAAGAATCACAATCAGATTCATGCTTTAAACATTTGACAGTCTTACTCTTCAGATGGTGCAGTACCAGTGTTTCTAACCATGTAACTGGAGCTAACACTATCAGAAATGTATCTCCACATCAGTTGAAAAAAAATTAAGGCACTAAATAGAATGGCTTGACAACAGGGGCTGATGTTTTACAACACCACTATGAAACAGGGCTTTAGAAAAAGAAAACCAACAAAAAAACATGACAGCATATGAATACTGTGAGGCATCAAAACCCACAGACTCGCTCAAGTATCAAACCCACCCTGGTTCTTCATTGTAGGGTGATCTCCTTTATGCAACGCTCTTCACACTTTTTCCACCCAAGTGTATAACAACTAAGTGACATAACATGCCAATCACTAAAAAAGAAGAGGTCCGAAGAGAAAAAAATGGCAGAAGTGAACGATTGTTTCCTACCTGCAAAAATTTTTTTACATCAGCAATAATGTCTCTGAAGATGAGCTGATCTTTTAGGGCTTCAAACCATCCTAATTTTGTAATTTTAGCAATGACTTGAACAAGAGCTTGGATGACAAAAGGAGCCAGTTTGGGTTGAGATGCTACATAGTTCAGAATGTAATTTCCTGTAAAGAAGCATTTTAAAATCAGCAACACAAGTCTTCTGTAAAGAAAAGGAATGAAATGGTTCTAATAGAAACTTAAGGCATGGATTTTTTAAAAAACTATATTCTTATGGTTAGTACAATAACTGTAAGTTACATTAAATCATTAAATACAGCTAAACATTTAGTAACACAAAGCACATTACATACATGATCATTATTCTATGACACATATGACAACAGTTTGTGAATTCAGAGAACACTGGGAGGTAAAACAAGAGTAATTTTTCATTACAGTCCCGTATACTGGGCACTGATTGTTTCACTATGTAACAGCAGCTCTCACAGCCAACTCAAGATACAGAGCAGTTTTTTCAGACAAGAATCCCTACTGGATGTTCCCAATTCAATCTAGAACATCCCTTTGGGTAATGCACATTGCAGCTGCAGAAATTCCTCTCTAACTAGAAGGAAGTTAACCTGTTCCAAAAGCTGTTGAAATGTATAAAATTAAAGTTGATTAAAGTTAATTTTTACCTAAAAGAACATTGAAATCTTTTATCAGAAGCAGCGGATTCTCAGCCACTACTGAGAATCCACTGCTATCCACACTACTACTACTATCCACAGAGTACTACTATCCACAGAACTGATACAGCAGTGCAGATTTTCTAAAAATCCAAATCAAAACATATGTTCCTCGTGCTAAGCCTTTCACTATTAAAGACCTAACACATATTTGCTTACTCTTTTAGGATATAGCAATGACTTTAACATAGATCCTAAAAAGTAAGGAGAATTTTGTAGAATCTTAATCCTGCAAGTAAGAACCTGCCCTGGCATGACTTTTACAAATGTTAAGAGCCGATCATGAGCAATGTTACACGTAAGTGACTGGTGGGTGTACTACAATATCTGCAACTTTCATCCTTTACAAACATGAACTAAATCTCTTGAGCATCTTGTGGGATAAATACAAAGTCTGTCTTGAAAAATGAGTATTTTTTTTAAATATGAAGTAATCTGAGCTAACGTATTTATTTAATTTTGAAACTAGGAAATGTTATTTGTGAGCTAATTGCAGAAAATGACAAAAGAGCTCACAATCACCTTTATGTTCACTCTCTCACAATAACTACCTTACGAATAACAGGCTTGGTAAATGGAGAGAACTAGAGAAAAAACAGACTATCCACTGAATGGTTACTGTGCTAACATGAACTTTTAGATCCAACTAATATAATGAAATTTTAACCACAAACGTTACTTACGAATATCAATCCTTTGTTCGATAGGTAATGGAGATGCTCTGCTTACAAGCTTAGACAGGCACGTTGCTGCTAGAAGCTGAGCATAGGACGTCTACAAAAACACATCAAAACATACTATTCAAAAATAGGCTAATTAAAGGCAGGGACAATAAGTCAAAACCTGATAAATAATCAATAAACCAGATTGGTTATCAGGTTTTTGTTATGTTTGTTAAGTGCACCAAAAATTTATAAAAGATGTATTTTAGCAATATCTTTGTTTCATCATAAATAAACAGAAATTACAAAACATGAATAAAATAGTGGAGACCTAAAAATATCATCCCTTTTGGTGGAAACCATTCATCTACAAGTAATTTCACCATTCAGTGGAGTTCTTTGGTTTTGAAACCTGTTTTTAAATCATTTGATAATTTAGAACCATGAGACGATTACCATGGGTCCACTCCTGGATTAAAGATATTTTCAAATGTGTTTCCTCTTTTTCTTTCTCTCTCTTTTTGAATAATTTGAAAAACACAGCAAGAATTAAACTGGACTTAGCTTGGACTATCAAATCAGAATCAACTCCCCCATCACTTTATCTAGAGTTAACCATGAAATTAAACATCAAAAATGAAACTGAGTAATGATAAGAAAATGGTTTAAACTAACAACAGATAAGCAGTTTAAGGATTTTTTTAATAAATTTTTTTTTTCCATTGTAGCTAATAGCTAGAAACAAGAACAAGGTGATGTTCAAACACCAGGTTATACCACATTGTGTCCTGACACTGCTCTACAGATGACACAACCCCTGATCACAACCCTTCTGAAAGTACTGAAAGCTAAGATGCTTTCCCTTTTTGTCCCTGACATCTCTAAATGCAAGCTATCGCACTTCTACAAAGATCACCTCCAAATGAAAAAAATTCTAGAAACATTTATGAAACAGAGTATGTACAAAAAAGGGAAAAGCATTTTGCCTTTATTGTACTGTATTTAATGTCCCATGACTGAGAAACTTATGTGAGCTTCCACGTGCATGATTACATTTATGGATAACACATCTTTCAGATACTTACCGTTCCTTGTTCTAATAGAAGTTGGCATTGGCTAAGACATTCTGGGCTATCAATAAGTTCCAAGAGTACCTTCTCAGCTTGCATTCGCTGTGCTAGATCAGTTCCTTCATATAGGTGGTTACATAGTACTTCTAGTTCTGCCAGACTCTGTTAGGAAAGAACACAATTGAAACTTCCATGAAGACTTTTCAACACGTAAGGTTTCTTTAAGTGTTTATAAACCTAGATACTATACCAGTAACATGAACTGTTACCTATGCTAAGCTTTCCAGTTGATTCACATTTAAATTACCAAAAAATAAGAGGCCTTCTGTGACAAGAAGCCAAAAAAAACTCTGAAAATTAGGTTGCCATTTCTTATTCTCTCAGCTACCAAAGTATTTTTTAATATGGTTCAATCCATCTGTTCTTCTGAGTCTTCAGATGGGAATTCCATAGCTTTTCCAAAGAGAGATTAAAAGATGGAGAACAGTGAACAGTTTGAGCTATGCTACTTGGAAAACTTCTGGCAAATTTCATTTTCAAAGCTGTAATTACTCAACAAATTACTACACCTGGAAAAAATTAGCATTTGTCTACATCTGTTGATGCAAGTATCAGTGAAAGATGGGACAATTCAGAAGGTACAGTAGCAACAGAAGAGCTAAAATTCCTCTCCACGTAGAAGCTGAAGAAGTTCTCTTTGGTAAAGAAGGTGGTGGTGGCAAATATCTCTCTCCTATGTGAGGGCTATGATTTACATCTACTAGACCCCGACTCACAGGAGAGATGAACCCTTTGAGCACGTTTTGGAATCATTACACAAACAGAAGTTTTAGCATCCATCAGGTTCCCAAAGCCTGTGGAACTCTCATCAAGAACAAGCCACATCATTAGAAGGTACCCAGTAAATATTTCATGACTTGAGAGTGGCCTAGAAAGAAGAGTAAAAGAGAACAGGCAGTACTTGACTGGTCTCATTTAAAAGTTTGAGTCAAAATCCTGTTCACCAGCCTCTCCAAAAAGGTGTTTTGTACTTGAAATAAAAGTTTTGCTTCAGCACAATCTAGCATCACTTACACCGTAGCTCAAATGCCTTTTAAAAATCCAAGACAGTAACAGTCTTTGGCAATCAAAGTACATTTGGTTTTGTCAAAGCATGTCATTTCATAGAGACACGCTTATTATCATTAAAAAAAAAAAAAAATCACGGTCTTTTTCCCATTTTTGTTGTTTTTGTTGTTGTGCATGTGGAGTCCCTGGCTTTGATCAGCTTTTTCTGAATTTCAGTAATAATGACATTTTAAGAGTCCCTGATTTTCAGTCAAAAAGTAGCCATGTACTTGTTCCTTTGGAGAAATTTTAAGAACTACCACATTTGCTTCTGGAAAATACCTCAAAGACTAAGCTCAACAGAGATACCCTTTCTTTTTGTTTCCCCTCCCCGCCACGTTGAGAGAGAGTGGAGGAAAAATAAGGAACAGGTAACGATCCCAGTAACGCAATTTTACATGAAGTAAGAGCCATGCCAATTAAAGTGAAAATTAAGACTCATAAAATGCAAGCGTACACATTAGGGAAAATATAATACAACACAGAAAACACCACATTGGGGTATATGGAATAAGGACATCTAGCAAAGATAGTCTTCAGACATAAATTACAATGCATCTTTCCATAATGGACCAATTCCAATACAATCTGAGAAGCATGAACCAAATTATCACGTCATAACCAGCAAAAGTTAAAGACCCTCCTTTATTTGATCTGAAATTTGACTTTCAAGTCTAGACAAACTTGATAACAACTTTGAGAAAATCCAGATAAAGGACAATGAGGGAAACCCACCATAAATTTTTAAAGCAAGCCTGAACAAAAACTAGATAATTATCTTCAAGAAAAGTTGATTTATTGGATATTGAGACTGATGACCTTCAGCACTTTGAAATGATTTATCTGGACATGTTTGGTCTCAGCAGAACGTTATGACAAAGTTTCTTATAGGTAGGCTTGAGGTAAGGCCAGAAATTGCTCAGAATTCTCAGACTGCCAAAGAACTTGTTAGATGTTCTCTGGGTTGTGTTTTATGTGTAGTACCGAGGAAACATGCTGATTTTCCTTGATTCAGATAGTGAAACCAAAAAATGCAACCTGAAATCAGCAAATACAACCATCTTGTGTATGATGCAATTCAGCTGAGCAACAGAGATATTATTCAACTTTATTAAGAAAAAAACGCTTGGAGAAACCAATGAGAAATCAAAAACTAGCTCTCTATGTTAGATATATACTTTCTTCAAGCAAACAGAAGACTGTCGCAATCCCTTTTTTATTGTGAGACAAAGCATGTGAAACTGATGCCTTCAGACACCTCCTTTACTCAAATCCTTATCAATAGCTGAAAGGTGAGTCCTAAGAAAACAACAATAGTGTCAATGAAGAGGATCTAGCAGTTAGATGCTGGCTGCTTTAAGTGAGTCAGGAGTAGAAACAGACCTGTATAAGAAGTGACATTTTCGATCACAAAGAAGTGTAACTTTTTCCAAGAAACAGATTCACATCCTAATGAAAAAGGTTAGATACTGTGATTTTTTTTTTCTGCTTGTCGCACTTTCATAATATTCAAGAATAAGCTAAATAAAGTTCTCCAGATACTTCTGGTCTCACCTCTCCAGCTCTCAGATGTCCCTGGCAGCTCTCCTACTAGCCCGTGAAAGAGCCAAGGGCCAGAAATGCTGGGGGCCCGGCTCCACAGCAACCCACCAGGCAGGCAGCCAAGGAGCCAAGCAAACTGGCAGGAAACCAGGTAGGTTCCTGATTAAAGTTTTGCTGACACTGACAAATTCCCACAGACATTTTGATTTTAATCAGCATTTTCTAACTGAAAACATTCTATTAAGAAAGTTCCACCAGCTCTATGCAAGAGCAACAGGATGGGCATAACTGCTGAAATGCCTCTTTTTCAAAAAAAGAAAAAAAAAAAGCCATTTGGGTATGAGGTGATAACAAAAGATATTTTAGTGGTCCTTTTACATAGAATGCCAGGTGCCCAAGTATTTAAGTAAAGCCTAAAATGGCCTCTCTAACACTGCCCAAGCCTGCTGACACCAATCCAGTGAAACCGCAAGGGACTCCGGATGAACGCCTCAGCAAGTGTCTTCTGGGGAGGGCCTCTTCCCGCCCCCCCGTTGTTTGAGATACACTTTCAGTGGCTGATCTTCATCTCACACAGGTCCTGGAGGGGCTGCCTCTGGTTTTCAGGGAAGCAGTGGAGTAGAGAGCCCACCAAAGCCTTCAGGAAGAAGCG